ATATATATATATATATATATATATATATATATATATATTTATTTTTCCATGTCCTGTCCAACAGTGTGGCACTCAGAGTGTCAAAGTTAGGCCCAACAGATTTACTTTCATAAACAGAGCATTATGGCTTTTGCCACGATACTCCACTTAATATACATACATAAAACTTTGTCAGAAATTGCTTGGAGTTTATCTCAAGTGTAACGGACACGAAGATGGAAAAGAAAGAGAGAAAGGTCAGGAAAGGCTTGAAGGGAAATGAGACATGCATAGAGGAGAGGAAGAAGAGAACACAAGTCAGCACCTTATTAGTCTGACTCTAAACCTGCAGAAAGAGAGAAAAGAAAACAGAGAAACCATAGCAACAAACAACATGTGGATAAGCAGGTCCTCCAGAGTCACCAGGAACCTCTTAGCTCTCTGTGCCGCTCCAGTTAAGGACGGCCATGTCCTCTGAAGAGAGCTGCTATCTTTGGGTAGGATTAGAGTAAATGGAGCTCAAGACAAATGAGCACTGCTGACTTCTTTTTGTAAAATATGTCCTTTCCTTTTTATGGAAGAAAATTAGGGCCAAATAAAAATATATATGTATTCTGACTTTTTCTCAGAATTCTGACTTTAATCTTCTGAGAAAAAAGTCAGAAATTTGAGGAAAAAAAGTATGATTTTTTTTTACCTCCATCAGTGGTCCTGATCATCTTCCGTACCCTTCCTTGCCACTTTGTTTTGCTCGTTCAAATAAAACTCCAGTATCACTGTAATTTGTGGCTGCAATGTGACAAAATGTGGAAACTTTAAAGCAGTGGTACGGAAGCTACGACAAGGCACCGTTACAATCTTTATCTTTAAATTCACAGCAACGAGAAGTGAGACCTGAAATGCCTTCAGCTTGTGGAGGAAGAGAACAAAAGGGCTCACCTTCCATTTAGCTCTGGCAAAGTTCTTTTCTATCTGTGCACACACATTTTCCTTGATGTTCTTATCTGAAGCCGCGCCACCGGAGATCCTGCAGAGGAAAGAGGAGGATATGAAACGACCAGCTATACTCACACAAAAAATAAGTTGCAGATTGCTAATGCTCTTTCAGAAATATGAAGGATATTTTAGTCATTTTCTTTCGGTGCAGTCATAGAAGATTGTGATTTTACTAAAAAGTAAAGTTTGTTGGAAATGCCTCTCCAGTACAACTAGTAACAAGCGACAATCTGTCAAAATTGTTCAGGATAATTTATCTTCTTTTTTATTTAAATTTTTTTTTGTTTGTTTAAATACCCCTGAGACGTTTTTTAATCACGTTTAGTACACTCAGTTCCCGGCACTCTGATTTAGTCTGCACCATATATCAAAAAGTCCTCCACCTACCATTCATGGTTTATGGCCTCCTGGGCCGTCAGCCTCTGGTCTTGATCCACCTCCATCAAACGAGCAACTAGGTTCTTAGCTGTCAGAGAGAAGTCACAAGGAAGGAAACGCAACGAGAAGAAGGGTTTTACTTCCTGACGGCATGACAACACAACCGTAACCACTTTGAAAAGTCAACAGGAAGGAAGGCAGGTGGGTTCCTTCTGGAGTGTGTGAAGTGTGTGTGTAAGAAGCTGCCACTGAGAATACCCGAATCGGAGATTTCATCCCAGTACGGAGAGTCGAACTCGTAATCACCCGCCAGGATTTTTCGGAACAGGTTCTTGTCGTGGTTTTCGTAATCATCGTCATCACTTTCATCGTAGAACGGAGGGTTGCCTGACAGACTGTGGCAATAAAAATTAAAAATTAAAAACAGTGGGGGTCATTAAATCTTTATAAGACATGCCGACCACATTTGAGAACGTCACTGTAGAGAGGCACCGATCAGGCCAGTACTGATTTTCCTATTTATTAGTTCATGTGTGTGATTTTATATTTTTATCATGTTAGAAATAAATGAAATAAATAAATTTCTTTTTTATGCCTGATCTACTAATTCTGATGTAAAAAAAAAAAAAAAAGTATTGTACTCCAAGAACATAAAAATGGTTGAAACAGGTTGCTTGACAGAGGTGAGAATTATAAATACAACTGAGAATTTCAAGACTTTTTCCATTTATGCCTCGAATCTAAGGTCCAAAATTAGACTTAAATTTATTTCACACACAGCTTTGCATTTGGGAAAATAAATACATTTCAGCCTGCATGCCTGTCCACACAAATGAACCTCTTTGCATCGTGTCTATTTGTTAACAGGAAGTTGTGGTTGGTTTGAAGCAAACCGATTGGCTGACAGGTTTCAGCTCCGTGCTACACTGCCCCCTATGGGTTTGGCATGTTTAAAACAACGCTCAGGGAAGGCTTTGTTTGGATTCATGTGGATGAAAACTTTTCTGAAACTGATTCCGAGCACATGAAATTATTTCTTCTCAACAATATGGCGGATATATTTGTTTTCAGAAATACCCAGCTTTGTGTGAGCAAGAACTTAGATAATCAGACCTATTAGATTTAGGTCTAAAATGAGGAGTTTGTTTCTTGTAAAAAAAAAAAAAAATGAGTCAGGCAGTAAAAAGAAGTATCAAAGAAGAAAAAAAAAATCTTATTTGCATTTTATGAAGAAAAATACCAGATCACCAGATTTCTATACTAGTAGTTGATATGTTTATTGAACAAAAATAATATAAGTAATTGGTTTTGAAGCATGTAACGATTGGGGTAAAAACACACATTTTCCTGTATTTGTACTACAGATGACTAATTAGAGATGATTCTGATGACTTACAGGATGTACATGATGACACCTATGGCCCAGCAGTCCACAGGCCGGCCATACCGCTGTCTGCCGACCACTTCAGGAGCTGAACAGGAGAAACACAAACATCATCACTGACCCAGAACCTCGTGCCACATTATGTCATATCTAATTCACCACGTTTCATAATCTCACCCAGGTACTCTGGTGTCCCACAGGGGTCCTTGATCAACCCGTTCTCCAGCTTGGCCAGGTGGAAGTCACTGATGACGATTTTGGAGTGCTTTAGACGGTTGTAGTACACCAAGTTCTCCAACTGTGGGAAATGACAAAAAGTCACACGCTTACTATATTTAACAATTAAAATTAATATCTTTTGCGGAGAATCTGAGTAAGTCAATGACAGAAAAAAAAAAATCTGTTTTAATTTGTACTTCATTATAATTCAACTTTGAAACAAAACCTTTTAATATTCCAATATGTACAAGAAACACTTAGAATCCGTCAGATCTGCACAACATCCACGGCTTTGCTCACAATCCTTTCAGACTATGAACTCATTTTCAGACTGTGCTTGAACAGTGGTCTTAGCTCTGTCAATCACCTTAGTGTATGAACTGCTCATAGCCTCCCCCTCGCTCTCTGCTAGGCTAAGCTACAGCTAGCCTGTCGTGAGTGCTAAGACTAGTTATAGTGACCACAGATGATGTCAGATAAACAGTTTTCCTGTAACATTAAGATGAGAATGTGCATACACGAGTGTGATTGACAGCACTAAGTCCTAAGTGCCAGGGGGAAGAAACAAAGCGGTTTGTTTCTTCAGACGGTAATAACAGCTCAGGGAGGAGGTGGAGGAGATCGATCTGTTCAGATAATCTGTCTCATGTTATAATGTCACAACATGGTGACAGCTTTAACAAATAACAAGACATTATTCCCGTACTACCAGTGAAATAATCTGGCTGTGGAATAAAAATGTTATCAGCAATATTAAGGAATTATTGACTTAAAGCAAGCTCCTATATGTTGCTAAAAAGTTATTTGTAGGTTTGTTTAGTCTAATTTCAAGTGTACAAAGATATATGCAGTAGAAACCAAACCAAAAAGATACTTGGTTTGGTTTAGTGGTTTTGCAGTGTTGCCGCTGAGCTGTGCTACCTTCAGGTTCCTGTGAACGATGTGCAGGGAGTGCAGGTAGGCCACGGCCTCCAGGACCTGCCGCACCACGTTGCTGGTGTCCCGCTCTGAGTAGTAGCCCTGGTCCAGGATCCAGTCGAACACCTCTCTGCCTGTCGCGCTGTGGAGAGGTGGGTAGAAAAAGAAACAAATAAAAAGTTTGTTTATTTATGCAAGCTAGCTACATTGTGTTTTACGTTTCTTTTTCTTTTTTCTTCAGCTCATTTGCCACAAAATCAGATAAGTAAATGTGACAGAAGCTCCCTGTAATCTAGAGAACTCAGAAAAACTGACTTCAGCTACAAGAAAGTATTTCTGTCTTTCTAAGAACGGAGAAGCGTCCACGGGGTGAGAGTGATAATTACCATTTCCCCATGGATGACTCTTGTTTGCTGAATTTTCAGCATAACAAAAATCCCTCAGGTCTTCTCAGTGGGAAACATTCATTTCCACATTTAGAATTTCCATAGAAATGCACCCAAATTCCCAAAACCGGGGAGAAGAAGAGAACGGAGCGACCGGAGCGATCGGATCTGAATACCAAATGATGCGGAGCCAAGAGCCGCTCTCAGAATCCGCTCGGGCCCCGAGCAACACCGGCCCGTTCCCCCAGGAGCGCTCCATCTACAGAAGCGGCTCGATGGGGGTAGAGATGAGCTGGAAGCCTTTCATTCCCCCCATCAGACGTCTACACTCACAGCTCCAGGAAGAGGAAGTACTCCTTTTTGGTCTCGAAGACGTCAACCAGCTGGAGGATGTTGGGATGCTTCACCCTGAGGAAGGCAGAAGGCAGGGAGAGAGCGATGTCATTCCATGAGCCAAAGCAGCAAGGCGAGGAAACCGCAGGTCAAAAATGTCATTTACAACATTTATTATTCAGCAGTAATGTTTTGTTGATCTCACTGGCACTAAGCAGATCAACAGCGCCTGCACTACAGAGAGCAAACGGGATAAAAAGTCGTGTATTTCTCTGCCACCTCTTCGGAGGTGACAAACGGTTTCCTTCTTGAGCAGCAGAAGGAAATTTAGAAGGACAGCGGCTGAGTCCTGAACGATCTGCTTACTGCCAATTTCTATCAATCAGTCCCTCCAGTTTCTTGAGGATTATCATGGACATTCATGCAAAATCAATAAATCCCCCCACTTAATTGAGAGTTTATTGCATATTTTTCTGAAAAATTGTCAAAAACTTTCTTACTTGTACTAAACAGCTGCCTCAGCCTTAATCAATGTCAAATGATAGTCTATAATCTATATAGCCAGTAATAAAAAGTCATATTTACCATAATAAATAAGTGCAGATATCGCAAATATTTACAAATTACGGTACTACCACAAACACTTTGATTTTTATTGCAAAAAATCTAAAAGTATCACAAAATCCTGGAGGGACTGAAAATATGTTCAATAATGTTTTAATTTTAAGAATTCATTGATATTTTAAGAGTTTGTGAACAGGTTTTATCAATACATTCTGCCACAACCGTCCCTTTAAGAGCTTTCATGATCTGGATTTGACCCAAAATGAAAATGAATTTGACACCCTGATCTAGAGGTTGTTTTAGTCCAACTCATTCAATCGAACCAATCCCTGCAACTCGGCTTAAAAAATAAATAAATAAAAAAAATCTAAACTTTTTTCATTTCTCGCATGTAGAAATTTATGCGCCGCTTGTATTTTATTAAACAACTTAAAAGTGAGATCTCTGACAACAACAATATTAGATACTTCTAGCTTTTTAAAATATTGTTACAATTGATTGTCTACTTCAAGATGAATGTGTTCTTTTTTTACTGGATGATTTATTTATTTTTTGCTTTATTTAATTTTTTTCTAAATGGTACAGACTACTTTTTCTTTCAAAATAAAAGACTTTCAAAGGTGATGCAGAATCAGTTATTTTAGGTCGCAGGAATGACGTAAAAAAAACCCCCCCAAAACAAAACAAAAACAAAAAACTGCAACATCCTGGATGGACCGATTAATAATATCCAGCTATGTGTTCCCAAAGTTTCCAGAAAGAGAAAATAACACACTTATCTCTCTATCAGCAACAAATAGCTCAATAAGATTATGTTAAAGCAGGATTTACTGAAAGCCACATAATCAGAAAAACCGATTTAGAGAGAGCAAAAAAAAAGTTTGGGTGCTAACGTTTTCAATTTCAGCTGCTTCTTTCTATTCGCGTTTTATTATCTTGCTTAAAAATGCTATTTAAAAAAGAAAAAAAAAACGGCTTAACACCGTTAACACAACTCACATCTTCAAGATGAGGATCTCATTTTTGGCAGCCTTCCGGACTTTCCTCCCGTCTTTCTTCAGGAACTTCTTGCATGTGTACATTTTCATGGTGGCTTTGTCCTTGGCCCTAAAGATCTCACAGAACTCCTCCCTGAAAAGAAGTGCTTGGTGGTAAAAAAGCTCCGTTCAGGTCTCCAGATCACAATAAGGCAGACGTAAAGATACTCACGATTTAACAATCTGACCCAGGTCATATTTATCCGTCACGTCCGAAGGATTGTGGTATTCCTTCTTTTCCCCAACCGTTAAACAGCCAAATGGCATGGCCACGCCTGACCTGGGAACGACAGGGAGAGAGACGGGAAAACTTCAGAGCCTCCAACTCACTGTGATACTTTAGATGGTGACTTTGCAAAAAAGAAAAACAGTGATTTTTTTCTTTTCTTTTATGCTGAGGATGCCATCATAGGCCACCGGAGGCAGTTTTAATGCAGCATTTTGTCCCATTTAACTTTCTGTAGCCAAGCTTTCCACAATCCTGTAATATTAAAAAAGAAAGAGAAAAAAAAAAACACAAGAAGATATCGACTTCAATGCCTCAGCTCTGCGCCGTCATCTTTTCCTCAAAGCGATAGCCTGACAAATTTCTCTCTGTGGGTAGACAGCGAGAAAAGTCGGGGAGCGGGAACCGCGAGAAAGCATTCTTCTGTTTCTATTACTGCATTTCTAAACAACCAAGAGCAATACAAGTACGGGAAAAGAGAAGGAGATATTCATCAGTTAGAAATCAGTGAACTGCTGCTGCAGTTCATTGAAATTTCTTCCCAGACTCTCGTTTGTGCGGCGCTCTCTGAGGTGTTCTCCTGAAGGAATGCGGGCGGCTCACTGAATGCATTTTCACTGATTCATACCTTCATCCTAATCTTGTCTTTGTTGGCCATTCTGTTGCTCTGCTTGGGATCATTGTTCTGTTTGTGACCCAGTTTAAGCTTCCTGGAGTTGACTCTTGGAAACTTTAGCCTCCAGAGGAGTTGATGATCCAAATCAAATCCTTTCTCTTAACTGACCTTGAACATCTCACTTGCTAACTGAGGTCTGGAGCCAGACCGTGGTTATTCTTCAACCAGCCAGGCAAATTCTCTTTCTACGCAATTCCACTCAATTCTCATCTCCGGTCAGAGCTCCGTCTTGGATTTATGGGAAGTGAACGGATCCACTCTGTCTGTGTTGATCCTTGGGTTTTAACAAAAGTCTAATTTTGGATGCTTATCTGCGGCGCATGTAGTTTCCGGTAAGCTTCATAGCGTGACTTCCTTCACGGTTGAATACAACGCAGGCAAATGATTGGGTAAAATCAGATCCAATCATTTAAAAAATAATACTAATATCTCTCAAACGCTGCACAGCACTTCACTGATAAGCATCGGATTGCTGAAGATATTTGTATGTAAAGCAAAGCAGCGCTGAAAAAACTTCAGCACAGCAGATTTTCCTAGAGGGCATTTGGGGTAAAAAAAAAAAAACATACATATACATTTATTAAAAAAAAATATATATATATATATATATATATATATAAATATATATATATATATATATATATATATTTTTTTTTTTTTTTCTGTGTGTGTGTGTTTGTGTGTGTGTTTTCTTTTTTTTTCCTTTTTTTTTTTCAAAAACCT